CCAACTGCCATTGCCTGTACGGATTATTCAAACTCCGACTTCCATTTTTCGCAAATATGCGAAAGAACTCACGTTTTTCTTCCTTATTGCTTCTCTTCTCGTTTTGTCGAGATGTCTTCCTCATATTCCGTTCTTCCCGGCGATCACCCAGCTTTACTCCTGAAGGAGCTCTTTTTCTCGTTCCTTTTGCTCGCTTCGGTCGAAGAGCTGCGCTGACTCAACTGCATATTGTCATGAATCATAACTTTAAATTAAAAACCGGCGAAACGTCTGTGACGAATGATGCGGAGCTGCTTAATTATGCGCTGCACAGTGCAACGTGAAAAGCCGTACGAGTCTGAAAAGATGAGCTGAAAAGGAGAGATCCACTTTTCATTCTGTTGCTTTTCGCTAACCTGTTTCTTGTTATCCGATGCTGATGTCGGATAACTCGCCGCCTTCGCCTAATCTCTTCTTCTCTATTTTTAACAGGCCCGCGGCACGTCTCGAGAAACCGTCGGTGAATTATCGCAAACTCGCGTCCGTTCGTCTTCTTCGTCGGGAACGACAATCGGCCAGCCATCAATCATCCATTCGCACTTCCGTTTGCCGCGGCGCCTGCCCTTCTTTCTGTCGTCGCTTCGTAAAGTTTTTAATATACGCGAATCTTCCCTGTGATCTTCAAAGCGTGACGCTAGTCACTTTAGCGGAGAATATTTCTTCGTCTATGCTTATATAAAAGCATGTAGAAAATAAAAAAATTATATAAATGGTAAAACAAAATTTAAAATAAAATTTGAAAGTTATTTTAATAATACGAAATAATATGAAAAAATTAGGATATTATTTAATACAAAATGTCATGATTGAGTTGTACGCTCTTGCATGCTAATATAGCAGACTTTTCTTACGGTTCGAACATTTTGATTAAGCAATGTGGACGTAAAGCTTTGTACAGAAATAAAACGAATCCGGAGTTTTATATTGCGCGCGCCAAGGCGAACGTACGGATTACAACGAGAATCGTACGAAGTCGTACTTCTTTATCCGTATAGCGGTCTCGACCAGCCTCTTACGCCGGTGAACTTCGTTTTTTACGGTTTCGCGTCTTCGATCGTCGTGCGATTCCCGGAGAGCGATAAAAAGGGAGAAGGACGAGATGGTACAAAGAGAAACAGCGGAGAGATAGGGCGAGGTTTAAATGCGAACGCGCCAGAGAAAAAGAGAGAGAGAGAGAGAGACTCCTAAGCTGTCTCCAACGTCTCCCTCATAAATCGAAGAAGTCCGACTTTTCAGGCCGCGTACCGCCGAGCTTTCTCGAGCTTATTTAAATCATCCCTAAAGCCTCCTTAATATTGAAAAATGGTCCTCGGCGATAGTTCGCTCTTGTTCTCGTTCTCTACCACCGGATATGTCCGTTTTGACTCAAAGGTTTTGCGCAAACGAGGACGTACCGAACTCGTCATTACAATTGTTGAATTAATAACAATAATGATTGTGTTAATTTTTATAAATTTCTCATTGGGTAACATTTGTGTCAGACTTAGTCGTTCATTAAAAGCAACGATGGGTGTAACGCTCTAACGGCGCTTTTTTATTTTATGCGCTGGAGTGTTGTGCAATATTGGACGCTATAATGTTTGCTTTGTATAATCCGTTACCCGGAAAACACGATTTCCGAATATTGGATATGCCACGAACGAGATTTGCGCAGCGTTACCTGATATTCATTTGCAGCAATCCGGAATGATTCGCATTTCACGAATGCGCGATTAATTTGGATTCCCCGTAGTTATGGACGTTGCACCCGATAGATGATCTAAATTAATCATTGCCATTTTTTTTGCGCATCATTGCGTTGCATTTATTTTACGAACTAAATTACAAATCCAGTTTTTTTTCATCGTTGCACTTTTTTTTAGCAGAGCGATCGTTTAAAAATGGGATCATTAAAATGGTAGAATTTTAGTAACTGAGCGTTGCGATAACGGAGACTCACTGAATTTTCGAATGTTGGATATCCGATATACGGATATTCGCGCAAATTCGAGCGAGGATGAGGGAACGTGTCGCACGTTCTAACCATCTTCTCCTCCTTGGTTTGCCTAACTCACATATCGTGCCCATTTCCGTGCTCGATGCGTTCTTGTGTGTGCGCGCGCACCCGCGCTCCGCAGGATAGCTGAGGGATTTAGGTACAACGTTAATAACATTCGCGTAACTTCGACCCTCCCGGCTGTCAAGCTCTAGGGCGTAATGAAGCTCTGACGATCTTCCGCGCGCGCTGTATGTCGCTCGACGGCGGCGAGCTGCGTTGACGTGCTCTAGGATTCTCATTCCGCTTCGTGACGCTGCATAATCAGCCTGACCGCAGGATCGCTGATGGATCGTTGTCGAATCGATCCTTCCAAACAACGTCGAAATTAGGATGGACCGCACGGCCCGCGTTTTATGTACTTACCGAAGACATTAATCCTTGCTGACGCGTCCGTAAAAAAAAGGTGTTATAAAAAAAGAAGGAATCTTGTGATTAAAATTAAGATAAATCGATGAAACAAACGTATTTTTTACGAATTATTTATTATTATTTCGCTATGCGTTGTTGATTAATAAAATCTTTGTTCTCCATAATTATGTAACGTAGAGAAAATGGAAATTAATTATGAAAACAGCAGGGAAAGTTTGATTAAAGCGATTTTGTAACGCTACAAAAGCCGTTTTAAATATTTCGATTTCAATAACACTGATTGTAAATTCTATCAATCGGCTGAATTGCATGATATAAATAATGTACTTATGCATGCGCAGCCGCGAATTCGCCGACAAAAAGTCGACAACGATTTCGCACGGGTCGCCTCGCCGTAAATTATGGGACGGTTATAATACGCTTTATGACTTTTCGCCGTTTCGTTTCAGCCGCACGCTCCGCGACTTTGTGAATTCCTCGAGCATCCTGGGACGCGACACCTTTAAATCTTCGTCATGCCTCGGTTACTCTTCGTCTGTCTCTGTTAGAGACAAACCGACAGTTACGTCTTTTTGCCGTGCGCATTTCGCAACGTCGACGCGTAATGGCGTAGTGCAAAACTCCCGTGTTTGCTGTTTATTCATTATACGCAAGCTCTCTCTGCTCTCGTTAGAACAATATGTAAGCTGAGCTTTTATTCGAGATGGAATGACTCGGGGGAAATTTCTCGCTATGCCGCGCATCTGGTTTTTATTACCGCTTATTCTATGGCCGGTCGGTGTACGACAGCGATGCCATGTTTTATCAAAGTAATTTTGTAACCGAAAGAGCAGTGAGCATAGGTCAAATTAATGATTAAACATTTCCTTTTATAGATTAGTGCCATTTATTTGGTCTGGAAATTTGCTCTTTAATTTAGAGTAGATTTTTGTTAAGAATATCAAGACTTTACCAGAATATTTTAATAATACCAAGTTTTAATTAATTTTATTACATAGAATCTCCTATCTCTGACATTTAATATCCATTCAATTACATGATTTATTAAAAAATACCGAACTTTCGCTAAATGTTTGCATCTCCGTCACGCCGAATCGCACAACAAATGATATTATCATTGCAGATTTCCTTGTTTTCTGTTTTGTTTTTTTCAAGTAGTATATCTCTACGCTCTCGTTTGCTCCGTAGACATTGTAGTTCCGTTCCATTTCCGCAGCAGGGGTTCAACCTTGCCCGACACGCGGAACCGTCGGTTCTTTCATACGTTCGTTTCGTCTGTACAAAGTTTGACACGGAAATTTATTCGCGCTTAACCGATTTGGCGGCGGTTCAAGACGGATGCTCCACCCACCCGAGAAGTCTGCCGCTGTTTTACGATCAAAGTTCAGAACGACATTTGCACGTTGGCTCTTTCGTCTCGGTTCCGCCGCCGCCCCCGTCCTTTGTACTATTTCTTCGCTGAGGCCCTCTATGAGGCCGATTTCTCGGTTTCTCTCGCCATCGTTGTCGTCATCGTCAACGTACACCTCCCTCGCACACTACACGCCCGAATAACTCGTATCCGGCCGTCGTTTCCTTCCCGAAGAATTTCCGTCTCGATAATCCTCAGTAATGCCGAGTGTGCCTCGTCGGGGATCTATCGGCAGTGACTGATGGCGAGCACGGGCATTTCCGGTGACGGCGTATCGGAAAAATTCGCGAGGTGGACGAATTCGGACGCAAACACACCGGCGAGCCTCGCAAAATTGAAACGCCCGGACCTTGGCGAACCAAAGGAACAGACGACGCCGTATGCAATATACAAGTTGTGAAGAATGTCTGGCGCGACGAGTGGCGAGGAAAAATGCCACAGAATTTTCAACGCGTTTGTTTCATGTATTTTATATCCGCTTGATGTCGTATTTTTGCGTACTTTGCGCAATTCGAGCTGCGTTAGTGGGTGCGATTTGAGATATTTACCGCGTCTGTGTGAAAATTTATTTACATTTGTAATGTAGGGCGAGCTGAAATTTTCGGAAAGGGAGAAATGGGAGTTTATACTTTATTTGGCAACGTTAATATTTTATTTGAATTTCTGAGCAGAATTTATATCTGCTTAAAGTAGAAGCTTAATTTCGATTAATTTATCATGAAGCAATAACTAACATCGGGAAACAGCGTATATTTGATGAAACCCGGTTCTAGCGGCGAATGATTACAGAAAATTTCATAGCGGACGGTAGAGTGCACTCAGCTTTCGCAAGCGTCGGGATTTCGCAGCGCGAATAATTTTCATATGAATGCTGTTCACTTTCCACAATATTGCGTTTCCGAAATTATTAACGATTCGCGCCACTTGGAATTTTGCGTCCGAAAATTATTCGCTTTTGCGCTTCGAAAACACGTACAAATGACGATATGAAAGGACCATCCCCGAATGACCATTTTCTTTCTTTTGAATCTCAATGGGCGTGATTTGTATGAAATTTGCGACGCAATAGCAAAATAGCAATAGGAGAAATTATTGATCTTTTCATTTGCTAATTTGCCATTTTTCTCCCTGTATTTGTTACAGAGTGACAGCGGGCTAGTGGACGCAGATCCAGGTCGAGTTAGCAGTATGACAGCCATTAACTCGGTGAGTAACCAGCGTAAATTAATACGCGGCGATAAAAGCAATGCGCACAGTGCCGCTTCGTTTAATAACTCGATATAACATCTCGACCGGTTGCGTTCTAAATTACGCAAACTGCATAATTCGCTAATAATTTGCGTTAATTGCCATGACCGTACTTGGTCAAGCCGTGAAGCCGAAGAAGCGAGAAATCTCCCGTGACGTGAGCAAAACTTGCTTATTATTATTACGCGTTACTATGCGTGCTTGAGCTTTCCATCGCGATAAATTGTCAGGTGTTGTCGTACAAGGAATCTGCCTGTACATTCCTGCGAAAAGTTGTTCTAGCAAGAAAGTCCTTGGTGCTCGAGTCGAAGTATTGATTTCGAAATAGTTTTACGCATTTGCTTGGGACTCGGGAGGGAAGGAAAAAGGGTGTGATGGTAATGCGCGCCTCGTTCTATAGGCCGTCGTTCATCAAATATGTAGGCAATTGCTTCCAGTACAGGAGACGCCTGTGCCGAGTTTTCGTTCGCTAATAATCCCGTAATGCCACTCACGCGATCGTCGGGGGGAAAGAAGAGAGCGGCTTGTACGACCAGCCTGCGCGAATGTTTGCGCGACGGGACGTTTCGGTTCGACAAACAAACGGCAAGCCGGAGAGGGTGCGAGTCTAGTATTTTATCGAGCCTAATACAGTTATCATCGAGTAACATTTGGTATTGTTATGATTAAGGGACGAAAGAGAATCATTCCCTCTTCGGCCGGGCGGGGCGCGTGTTAATCCTGTTGCATTACCGCCGTGCTCATTCGTCGGACAGAATTCAACGCGCAGCTTTATGCGGTTTTATTATTATATACGCACGTACGTGCGTTGGATTTAGCGAATTTAGCGAAGCCTTGGCGCAACTTTTACTATGAAGGAGCTTTTTAGATATAAGCCGATATGCTTGTATGAATATGGAAAACTCGATGAAAATAATCTCCTAAATTTAAATTTAAATTTAAATTTTAACTTTGGAGTACGTCGACAATAATTTCCTGATGTTCTCTGCAAACCAATTCTTTACAAAATTCGATATTGAAGCAAAAATTAAATATAAAAATTAAAACTAAAATTATGTATTTATTCTCTTTAATTTAGTGGTATATCCTTTTTTGAATGGGTGTAATTATATAGTGCTCATTTCGAGCAATCTATAATTTGCATTTCGAGGTAGAATTCTGTTTATAATTTTATGTTATGTGTTGTAATACAGAAAATATTTTAAAAATCAGAACGTTCACATATATATGTGTACGTTGTGTGTTCGATTTCGATTTTTCAAATATTTTTTATTATGTAAAATTATCAATTAATTTGTGTCACAAATTTTCTGCTTTAAATTATGGATATATTGCCTAAAACAAGTTTTAATTGCATATTTTATTCAATGACATTCCTTTCTAGTTGTGTGACCCGATTCCGATTTATATCGTATCGCAAGCCTAATAATTGAAACATTTTTTTTTAAATTGAACATTGTTTATTCTCTCTCTCTCTCTCTCTCTCTCTCTCTCTCTCTCTCTCTCGGAAGTAGACGTGAAACCTAACATTTGGATGCGCTTCATTGTGAACCATGGAAACGTCGCTGTTTGCATGATAACGACATGCGACGGCTCGGTTTGTGAAAGATGTAAGACACGCGAGACGATGGTGGCTTGCCAGCGTGGAAGAGAGCCAGTGTCTTCCCGCGGGAATTGTACACACGAAAACTGACACACGGCACATTCATACATAGCTCTCGCGACCATCTTCGGCTTGGAGCCACCAATCCCCGGAATTCACGTATTCGTTCGGAAAAGCGAGAATCGAATCGGCGGAATTCAGCGGGATGCGCTTCTTCCTCTTCCGCTTTCTCTCATTCTCATCGTTGTCGTCGTCACTGTCGTCGCCGTCGCGATCGATTTGGGAATACGGCCGCGCGCGCGTGCATCGCGGCAGAATCCCGAGAATTCGTATCGTGTCTTCTCGAGAGCGCGGACGACCCGACTGGTTACGAAGTTGTCTCTCCCGACCTGCTGCACTGTCGCGACAACGGTATATCGGTTGTAGCAGCACTTGAGTCCCGTGGGAATACACTCGTTGATTACGCGCGAAGAGTACGCTACGAATTTGCGTTTCTCCGTAAACGTTCGCTGCGCGGAATATCAAGGTTATCTGTATTTAACACGAGCTAGTAGAATAGTTAATAGCAAGTGTCAACAAAACGTTGAAAAATTGTTCAGAGCATATTTTTATATTCTGTAACACAGAGAATGATTTTAAAAAATTTTATTTGAAATATTTTACGTCTTTTTTTACAAATTTTATTCTGAAAATTAATGTACATAATAAAATTAATCATTAATAGAAATTTTCCTTTTATTTATAATGTAATTTTTAACAACTTTTTTCATCATTTCACTGTTTGATCTATATTTTATTTACAGATAAAAAATTGATAGATTTTGAATTTAAAAAATTTTGCAAAAAGAATTTTAAATGACACATAGAAAATATATAAAAGCAGAAAAAAATTTTTTCATATTTTGAAATTTTAGAATTTTTATGAGTCACTATAGTAATTCCAGTACAAAAGCTTCTTTGAAAACTTAGCAAAATATCAGAGAATCGTAGAATTCGATACAATAAATGACGCGAAATGGTCCAAGTAGTCGCGAAGTTTTGGCAATCATCTGATTATACACGTGTCGTAACGAGAGGAAATTCTATGCTTGATGGGCACGCGAATAACTCGATGAAAAGAAAGGATCTCATTTTTCTAGAATTGAATTACAATCCGCCTCATGATACAAAAGCGAGTTGTCTTATGACAGCACGCAGACAGCTAGAAATAAAGCAACGCTTGCAACGCTGGTTCGATTAGGAGATGCGAAATCTGATACGCGCGCTCGTATTACGATGGTTGCTTGGGTATATCCGGGGTATTACGCGAGTGTAATTGAGAGGAGTATCGGATCTGTTTTACTATTATAAGTTACATGCATGCCGGTAAGTAGCCAATCAGAACAAATAGATAAATACACCAATCAACTATGTGAAATGAAATAAAGTGTTAATACTAGAATTTAACAGTTTTCTCGGCAATCACTCGTAATACGATATAAAATAGATAGATAAGCGTCTTAATAAACTCAAAAATAAAAAAATATTGTTTATATAAAAATTTAATATGCATATGTAATAATACGAGAGCAAATCAAAAGTAAAGGAACATTTAAAAAACATTTTTTTTATCGCAATGTACAAGAATTTTGTTTTGGCCATTTTTCTATGTATATAAACCTTTCCGACTTCAAAGCACACTTGGTCACCGCTTTACGAGGTTTTGAATTCTGTTCGTGGAAAAAGATTTCGGTTTTGTGCGCAGCTCTCTTTACTCTTGCATTCCTCCAATATCTTTTTTACCAGAAGAAATATTATATCAAACCATAAATCTTGAAGAAGAAAATCTAGAATCATAATCTGAAAATATTTTACGCATCTTGGACTTGATGCTAAGCATATTTATGCATATTTTTGATCGATTCTTCTAATGTAAAAAAAAGCACTAGACATTTTTTTATGAGACAGTCTGAGAATGACCATATAAACATTGAAATCTTTTCAGAACAGAATTCGGAAGTTTATGAAGCAGTGAAGCAAGAACATTGATATTGGATAGAAATATTATACCCACTATTTTTTATATATAAAAAAGAGTAACCAAAATAATATTCTTGTATATTACGATAACATTTTTTCTTTTATCAGGTGTCTTTTCACTTTTTCACTTTTTCTTGAACATTGAAATTACACAATGTAAATATTAGGAAATAATTGCAATAGATATTAATTGATTTTGATATTAATTAATATTCATAGTCGTTTGAGCGATCTTAAAATATATCGTGCGTAAAATGTATATCGTATCGATACATTGTAATGTAATCATAAATTATAATTGCTTCGCTGTATCGTTATTTTTACTCTGAAGAGATCTCAAAGCCAGTACGACGCGAAAGTGGCAGGATCGATGGAAATGTAATGGTGCATTTTTATTCCGCGTTGCTCCTTTTACGCGCGCTACCTCTTCGCCTTCTCTCTGTGCTGTATTATTCAAACTTTACATACGTTTGAGAAACAAGAATATTCGACGAGGCGGGTTCGCGTCGATGCTTAAAAAGCGCTCGTCTCGCTGGCTCGTTATTCTCCGCGGTATCAAAGTCGACAGGCATTTGCAATTGAAATTTTTGTGGTTTTATAAGTGAACCGTGGACAAATTCGAACTTTACCGCGGCAGCGAACGCGAGGAGATGATTCCGCAATTACTTCCGCCGTTTTTCTAATACCATTTTGTCGTGATCGTAAAAACCAACGTCCGTTGTATTGTTCATAGAAGCAAAATCATATGAAGCATAATATGAAATAATATATAGCATAAATTATGAAAATCTACTGCGTATGTAAATTTGTTTAGATATAACAATTTTTGAAGAAATAAAAATTATTAGAGATAATAATAATATGACAACGAAAGAGATTTTATCTGCAGAAAATATTTATTTTGTTTATTGTTGTTTTTGCAATTAATTGGACTGCGTGCTTTTTGCGAGACACCGTGTATATTAGGTCGACCTTTCTCGAGCTGCAATCTCGCGGAAAGTGACGCGCTCGGATCCGGTGACCCGGCGACCGGAGTACAGACGAAAGTCGGGTCTAAAGGACGCCGAAGAGGAAACCAGTTTAAATAAAGATCGCGCATGTGGGTCAGCCGGCGTGGCGTTTGCGGCGTGCGTGTGCGTTACGCAAGCTGCGTCGCGCATCAGCGGGCGTCGTCGTTGGTCGGGCTTTACTAGCCGTGCAGAAGAGACGCGCGCTGTGTGCATAATGTGCATCAGCTGAATCAGTACACTACCCCCGAAAAGCATCCAAGCGTACATCGCCGCAAACATAGCGTGAAGGTGTATCTGTGTCAACTTGCGGCAAGCTTTCCTTTGGT